CGTGTTCGTTTGTACATATCTCCGTATTCATAAAATAGCAAATTTAACACGTCTATAATTCAAAGAATTGCTTACATCATCGATGACATCATTCTTGTTTTTTGAACAATAAATAATTTTAGTGTAGGGACATCATTCACAGTCACAGGTAACAGTATCCATAAAAATTCCATTTTTATTTTCTTTATCGTCGAAATTTTTTGTTAGACTAGGCAAAGGTAATTTCGTTTTATTCATAATAATGACTGCACGCGAGTCAACTTTTGTTGCTTTAACTGCCATTCCAATTTCCTCCCATTTTTAACATTATCACAAACACCACTACCTTTTTTTCTTTTTTTCTCTCTAATTCTCTATTTAACAAGCACTATGGAGTCAAACTCAAATACAATCTTCTTCCATTAATTAAGACAACAACATTTTTAGAATGAGTGAATGTCACGAATCATAATTTTTAATAGATATTTTATTCATTTGACAGATAACTTTTAGATTCGAGGTTTAAACTCAAATATTAATCTAGGTTTAAATTGACTTTAATACATTTTCTTAATCAATAAATAAAATCTCATTATTTAGTCTATACTAACTTGAAAACAATTCTATTAGTCATATGTTAAATAACAAATTTGGTCATATAACAATTTAAGATATGTCTAATAGTTCCTAAAATTTTAAAATATGTCTAATAGGTCTTAAACTTTAAATCTTGTGTAATAGATTATTGGTCGTTAAAAACGTTAGTAAGTCTTTAAATTACTTTTTTTTTTTTTGGGTATTTAGTAAGTTTATTGAACTTTAAAAAGTTTCTCTGTAAATCATAGATCTATTAAACACAAAGTTAAAAGTTAAAAAAGCTACCAAACTTGTAACACACTCTTTGCACAACAAACCCACTTTGAAGTTGACTTATTCACTCAATCAATTGTCGAAATGTGTACAAGATACTTTAGGTGTCAAATATCTAAATATTACAATTGTCTAAGGCTTATAAGACTTCATATTTGAAACACAGTTCAATAACCTAGACAAAAAATTAAAAGTTTAAAAATTTACCAACAAATTTTAAAATTGTTATAAAAGTTTAGAGATGAAACTTGTAATTTAACCTATAGTTAAAATGGTCAAAGTGAGCATAGCTCAACGATAATTGACATACATTCTAACCAAGAGGTTGTGAATTCAATCCCCACTCCCACATGTTTGTACCCAAAAAATTATAGTTAAAAGGTAATATATGTTTGACTTTTTAATAAGATTAATTGGAAAAATTTTAAAATGGAAGATGGTGCGTAAAGATTCTAAAATTGGGTTTACTTTGATAATCCACTAAAGAAGGCAGGAGAGGAGGTGAGTATTACGCGGATCCGAGTGGGAGTATGGGCCGTTTTGTCCACTGAGTTGGTCCGAAAAAGACGTCAAACAAATTCCACACAATTTTCTTTCTTTTTTTTTTTTCGCAAAACCGACACGTCATTGCCTAGGTTGGGTTGTCTCATCGTGTTTCATTAAAATACTCTTTTTTTTTTCTTTCAACTTTTTAAATATATTTTAAATTCTTTTACACCTGACACGACTAATTAGAAACAGTCCTGCTCCTGCATATTTTACCGATCTCTATTCAACAATATTTTATTTCGTACATTAACAGTAATTAAATTTCTCTTTCGACAAAATAAAATGTAATAAAAATTTGGGTAAAGTCCACGCAACGTACCGATCGAAAGATAGATTAGCAATCCAATGGAACCTTCTCTCGTTGGCCAACTAAATCTACTTGAGATATTTATTCAAAAGAAATAAAAATAAAAACAATATACTTAAAGATATTTTTCTACAAGGTTATAGTTTGAACTCATGATCGTTGGGATTAATTAATTGATATTCATTGTTAAATATTGGGATTTATTTATAGTGCTAAATTATCCACTTATTTTATTTCAATGATAAAATTTTGTACATCTAATTGTCTAAATAGAAAAATGAGTATAATGAAATTATGGCTCGCATGTATAAACAACTATGAACTTTTTTTTACTTTGTTAAAAAAAAAAAAAAACTTTTTTCTACTAATTTAAATATTGTTTTGAGGATAAGACACAGATTGTCTTACAAAGTAGAAGGTTTAATTATCCACGTCCTACGTAAAAAAAAAAGTAAATTCATTGATTTTAATTTAAATATTTAATATAAATGTTTCTTTGCCAGCTGGAACCCACAACAACTTTTAAAATAATCTTCTTCCAATTAAAATTAAAAAAAATTAGTATTTAAATCAATCATCTTGTTACAATACTATTATTTTTATAAAGTAAAATTTGATGTTTTTTTTTTCTTTGGAGAGAGTAAAATTTGATGTCAGTAGATCCTTATATAATTTCTATTTTATGTTTTATCACATTTGACATAAACTTAAGAAGATTTAATGAGTAGTACGATAAAAAAAATATTGGTATCTCATAAGAAAATTATTGCTACAACGGACAAGAACAAGTTACATCTTTTTAATAACTGATACAAATTGTTACAATAATTAGTTTGAGTGAACAAAATGTAGTTTGTAATTTTATTTTTTTTTGAGATTATGTAGTCTGTAATCGAAATCATTAATAAAATTTAAATGATTAATTTAAAAAAAGTTTACAAATTAATATTAAATAAGAATGGCTAATCAAATTTGTGTCCTTACAAGTTAGTGACCAAATTTGAAAACTAAAAAACCAAATAAATAGAAGGGTGTAAATGTAATTGACTAAAAAATCACAATAGAAAGTACAAGCATATAGAGAATACAAGTGACCAAATTTTATTCGTCGTGAAGCGTACAATGTACATTGGTAAGAAAATAAGTAATATTTTATATTATATTCATTCCATAGAATATAATATTTTATTTTATATCATGGTCACATTGCATGAATTGAAAAATTAGGGTGAATTTTGGCAGCCCAATCAAAGCCATCGAATGAGCTGACCTTGTGATTATTATGGTCATTGGGTTCTTCTTCAATTTCAAATTCAAGTGGTCGTTTGCCTTTGCCTTTTATAGAAACAGCAGCCGAAGACGAAGACCAAGCATTATCATTTTGGGCGCCACCAGAATCCACAGACGGCGGCGGCGCTGTCTCCAGTCTGAAAGAAGGCGGCGAGTCAACGCCCGCATCCACCAAAGTCCGCCGCGGCGAGTTGTAGTCGCCGCCGTGGCGGCAGTTTCGACTTCTTCGAGATATCCGTTTCTTCGCTCTGCCTCTCCATTTTCTCAGACCTTCCATCACCGCCTCCGTGAACACCGCCTTCCTCATCGAACTCCCCATCTGTAGAATTAAACCCCCCCTCGAGAATCAACAATTTTTACCATTAAAAAATGAGGTAAAAATTAATCTCTCAAATTAACTTACTAATTTCAACCAGAGTCAAGGGTAAGATCATCTATTTATATGATTAATCTACGTCTTGATTTCTAATTATTTTGGATTTATTTGACGACCTTTCTATTTCATCTTTCTCATTTTTAGAGAAATATTTATTAACAATCTAATTTCTCGTTTTTAAATTCTAAAAAACGTTTAAAGAAATACCAATTTTTAAAAATTATGAAAAATAGTTTTGCCTTTTCCATTTATGTTTCTTTATTTTTGTGTTTAGGTTAAATAATATATCTGATATCAAATTGTATTAATCTTGTGGTGCATGTGCCTACATTAGATCTATTATCTTCCACCAAGTACATGAATTGATTCCCCATTGTACGCAAAAGTCTTAATTTTTTTTATCCTTTTATATTTTATATTTTCTAATTTAAAGCTATTATATTTTGTTAAACAATAAAATTCTATTTTTCAAATTAAATTTTTTTTTTTACTAAAAAATTTGAAGTTTTTTTTTTTTAATTTAAAGCTAATAATTTATATTTTTATATGAGAGAAATTTATATTATAAACTTTTTCTTTAATAAATTATATAGTATATCTTTTTATATTATATTTATTAAAATATTTTATTTAACAACAAATAAAAATAAGCTAACCCGAGTTAAGATATAAATTATCGATGATGAAAACGTATGAGTTCGAATCCTACCCCTACTTTTGTACTAAAATTAGAAACAATAAACATAAAATAGTTATCAAATATATTTTTGTTTCTATCTTTATCCAAGAAAGAAATAGAAATTCTTATCGAACATATTTTTGTTTTTAGTTCTAAAAAAATTAGAAGAAGAAACAAGAAATGAATGGCTCGTTTGGTAACGTTGTCGTTTCTAATTTTCTTAAGAAATATAAATATTTTAGAAATAACTTTGTTTCTTGTTTATCTTTTTTTGGAACATTCTCACAATTGCATATAAATTTTGGAAACAATCAAAACCAATTTTTTTTTCTTGTTCTCATTTTCAATTTATTCCAAAATATAAATAAAAACACTTGAATTTTTTGAGGTTGAAACCATGAAACACATTTTTCTTCAACAAAAACAAAAGAACAGAAACAACAAGTTAACAAACTCAACCACACTTTTAAAATTTGCGTGATTAAATAGACATGGGAATTGGGTTACTTGCCTGAGCGACCAAAGCATAGAGAGGCAAAGTGACATAGCCACAGAGGAGCTGCACAATCACACCCACCACAACTCCTATTACCAAATCTGCAATATCTCTTTGGAAACACGATCTCAGCCCAAATTTCATCTGTAAATTAAATTTGACGCACTAATTAACTAGCAACACCACTAATTAATTTGCTTTTAAGCTATAATAACAACAAATAACTTACCCACGTCCACGAAAAGAATGCCAACTGGAAAGAATTCTGCAAAAAGAACATTTGACCATCTAGAATGTGGGTTTGATGACTAATTAATTAGAATGTAAGTTTCATTGATTTGGGTGATGGAAAAAATTGCCTGGAAGAAAATGAAGTGTATGAAATAGAGAAGCAACTTGGGTCGGCCCAACCAGAAGTAATGGTCACTGGGCCTAACAAGCAAAGTTCCTCGGACCACATTGGACTTCTCGTGGCTGTCTATGAACATCTCTGTCATAATCCCTTGTAGCTTTGTCCCGACCGACAAAAGCATCTGCAAAACAACATTAACTCATGCATCACTCCAAATCAAACCTTATAAAAAAGATGTAAAAATGTTTGATGTTTTCTTACTATTAATGGGATAAAGGGAAGCCATAGGTAGCTGTGAAATACTGCATCAAAATTGAATGGACGTCGCACAATGAGTTCACCAAATCTTAAATTTTTGTTCCAAAAGTAAAAGGGGGATTTTGAGGTTACCATGTGCATTGAAGAATATGAAGAGAACAGAGAATATCCAAACCCACCAACTGCACCAACAAGTTCCAACTCCCAAAAGNTTTTTCCTTTTAATTTAAACATGATTAAATTAAGTGGTGGGGTGAATGAAAAATGACCTGATTCCCACAACCACACTGAAATCTTGATCTAGAGCTCTTCTGACGTACTTTTGGAAGTCAAAGCTGCTTCCCTCTGCAATATGGGCCTGTAAACAATAGTTTGCAATTTCATAAACTCTGTGGTCAATTTTTTGTAGATTAGAGATAATATATAATTTTGATTTAAGATTAATTCACATCAAAATTAAGCATATAATTTATTGAAAAGTAAGATTATGGAAAAAGACAAGAGAGGGAATTACCACGATGAAACCATGTCTGAGAGTGAAGTAATCGGCTGCGGAGACGGATTCGTAAAATTGTCTAAGAAAACAAGCCTACATCCCAAACAACGAACTTTATGTCTGAATTGATAAAATATTACAAATGTAAAAAATTAATAAATTTTTTTTTTTTTTATCTTGAAAGAATAATTAATTCGTTTAAAAGAAGAAGTTACCGGCCACCGGAGAAAGTGGTGGTCGCTCCAGAATTTCAAATGCCTCTTCCCAAACGATGTTTGACGAGCGAACTGAAATCTTCTGGGATCTACTTGTAGTTGTAGTTCATTCATTATTGTACAACAGAAAATAAAAACAAAAGTCAATGCCAATGGGGTCCATCCAAGCTATGAAAATTTCCCCCAAAAATTTCATCGGTGGAATTAATTGGCCTACCATTAATTATTCATTTAAAATCTATTTTAGTCTTTTACATAAATAAATCAACTTTCATCCATCTATTTTCAAACTTTTTGTCTACTTTTATCATAAATTCTAGGAAAATACGTGAGATTTATTCCTCATAGCTCATTATCTATTGAAACTATAATCTATTTTTGCGTTTGTTTCTAGTAAAAAATTCAAGAGCAGTCTGGACAAGATAGATGTTTCTAAGTATTTTCCTAAATTCTATAGGCAACCAAAATTATTTCAAGTTAGATTTAGATACTATTTTAATTCATATATTTTTGGTCACTATTTTTCTGACACTGGGCTTTTTGTATTTTCAATTTTTATTTATTTTAGTTTTTATACTTTCAACAATTTTATATTAGTCTATGTATTTTTAAAAAGTTATTGTTTTGGTCCATGTTTACAAAATCTTAACACAAAATTTATATACATTGAAAACCTATTAATACAAAGTTAGAGCTATACTTCAATAAATTTAGCGAGTAAAATATCGTGCTAAAAATTATATAGAAATAAATGAGATAAAAATAAGAATGAAGAAACTAAAATAGTCACTTTCTAGAAGTTTATAGACCAAAACAAAACGTTTAGAAAGTAAAGGAAAAAATGAACAAAAGTCAAAAGTATTGGACCAAAATAGACGTTTTGAAGGTAGACTAAAATAAATGAAAGCTAAAAAATATAATAACTAAAATAGTATCTAAATCTTTAAGTTATTAAATATAATTTTGGGTTGAAATTATAATTGAGAAAAGCGATATTGAAAAACGTACAAAGAAGTAAAAACGACACTTTTTGATTAAGCTTTACCATTTAAAATACATGGATAAAAATAAATATTTCAAAACGACAAGAAAGTAGATAAAATTTGATAAAGATGATAAAATAAGATTTAAATCTGAATTATTTACCGGTTGTAAACTGATACTCTAACGTTTTGGTTTTTGCTTCCCAAGACTGCCATCTCCTCATCTGCAACACCAACAACATTATAATTTTTTATTGTATGTCGAATATTCAAATATCCACTTTATATTTACGGTATTTCAAAGAAAAAATGAGTAGTACATGATTTAAATTAGCAGAAGATTAATAGGGTGACGTGGTAAAGTCTTAATTTCACATCTCAAAAGTCTTCCCATACCCCAAACAAAATTGTCTCAGATTCTCTACGCTTAACATTCTAATCTAATCACCAACGCTATTTTTTCCACGTCTTCTTAAATTCCATCACTATCCTTTTTTCTATACATATAATTTTTTCTTAAATTTGGGGCCTATTTTATTTGCTGGATTTTGTAGTTAGGATGAAGTATTTTCATGAGAAGGTTTCAGCCATTTGATAGTATTTAATCCATTGAATTTTTTACTTTACTTATGCAATACCTTTTAAAAGATAATCATTTTACTTGTTATTTGGTTTTTATACTAAATCTAATTGCATGAACCAAAATATTACTTAAAACATAAATTAAATTACAAAGTTATCCAAAAAGGAAATGATAATGTTACCTTAGCCATTCCAAGACTGAATGTGAGGAGACTGGAGAAGATGTGTAGGAAAGCTAGACAAATGATCAAGTATTTCACCTGTCCCACACCATCGCTAGACACCAACGAAACTTTCCCCTAAATCCAAACCAATTTTTCTCAATTCTCGAACAAATTAAACCATTTCCATGTCATAAATCTCTGTACCTCAGCACCACACTTGGATTCCTCCACGATACTCTCTGAATTGTTCATCGTCTTGCACGGCAGAAGCCTTTCATTCAGACTTTTCGATATGCAAATCTTAGTAACTGGGCTCTCGCTCACCGACAGTAACAGCGACACGAATCCCAAAATCATCAGTTCTACGCACAAATTTCATCGGAAGAAGACGGAAAAAAAAAAAAAAAACAGAGACGACACAGAATCAGCATAGAAACAGAGAGATACAGAGGTTGGGGTTTTGTAATTTCTGACCAGATTTGATGTTGTGGAGAGCCGGCCTGAGGGATTTCCTTCTATTCTTGCCGAAAAACTGCCCCAAATCAAATTAGACCAAATATCAGGGGATTTCGTTCCACTATGTTGTAAGAATTTACGGGCAAAAACAGGGGATGGATCATGAATTTTGACATACCCGTCGGACGAGGAAGTGGAGCAAATATTCGGTGCAAATGGATATGAGAATCAAGAGAAAACAGACGGTTGCGACTGCCCATGTCGGGGTCCTTTCGAGAGTCGTTACATTCGCCGTCGCCGCCTGTTCGGCCATTTCCTTTCTGAGAAAGCTAAGGAAGGAGGAGGAGGAGGAGGAGAAAAAGAAGAAGAGGGGAGTGGGTTTTTAATGCAGAGAAAGAAAAGAGAAGCTTCGTACTATGGTGCCATGAATCGCTTCAAGATTATTAAGAACTAATATGGTCTAAAATCTAAATAATGGAGGAAAGAATAATGATAATGTGAACGGAAAGGAGAATTCAGTGTTTGAGGAGGCAAAATGAGTCCGACGTGAACGGGAGGGAGTCCAGTTATGGTCGACGAAACGCAACTGGAAAGCTACAGTCAAAGGAAATCCAGCCAATCAAACGGCCCACATTTATTCGAAATATCCCTTTCTTCATTTATTTCTCCCTTAAAATCTTATTCAATTTTACGTCTTCTTTTTGTTTGATTTATGACATAAATTTTATGTAAAGAAACTGATTGTTTTGTTTGGAGTAGAAATAGAAAAGCTTAATATAGTTTACTGATAGGTTAGAAATAACACGTAAGAATACTCATAACTCTTCATAATTTTTTTAATATAGTTTAGTGATTAGAATATTTTATAATTATTAAAGAAAAAAGAAATGCGAAGAGAATCCGGAAAGAATTAACAAGACTAATTTAGAATTGAGACAAATAATTAAAAGAATCCCAAAGTATAAAATATTTCTCACCCCCCATGAAATCAATCCTAATCATCACTCTTTTAATATTTTTAAAACATATGATTCTTATTTCTTCTGATTTCCAATTTTTATATCAGGCAATGCATCCCACAATTATGGGGTGAAAATCATATGGCCACACCACTTTTCAATCATAATTTCTCCAAACTAACAAAGTTGTTACACATAAATCAAAATAATAATCTGAGATACAAAATCAGCAACAACAACAATTGGATATCAACACAAGCAACACAAACACCAAGTGTTCTTTCGTTTGATAGCTCAAACCAAATGGATATCCCGAAAACACAAGAATTTCAAAGGTTTTTAACACCTGCACAAGCCTTTTTTTTTTTCCTTTTTCATTCAAAACAACAAAACTAGGCAGCCATTCTTCTTCTGCTTCCCCAAAATGTTCTTTGCTGCCCCCCCAAAAATAAGTAAAGACCCATTCAGTAGTAGGTACTGTAATTTGCAAAATGGTACTGGAAAGCCCCCTGCATCACAATGCAGATCAGATTTATCAGGCTGTGACAAGCTTTTTCAGCGATGAATGCTTTCTTTTTCTATCCCACTTTTCTTTCTTTGGAAAAACTATAAATTAGACAGCCTTGATTGCAGAGGGGACCATCTTAGTGTTAGCTAATATAACGTCGATTCAAGTAGCGATCTTGGAAGATTCTATCTTCAAACATATTTACGTAAAATATATCGCCTCTACGGCACGAGCAGGTAAGTTACTTACTTTGGTACAGTTGCTTCCAACCACCTTGCTCATCAGAGGAGACTTCCGAGGACATTGCACCCCAATATTGGATAGAACAGTGGTTGTTCCTGCATTTACTGCAGATGTTGCTGGAGAAGCCTTGTCTGCATTCCCAGCATTCTTTTCCTCTGTCAATGAAAAACCAAACAATCTGCACCCAGCTTTACATGTTGAAGACAGATCCTTACAGCCTGAAAACACTGATGCTGTTGTGGACAGATGTGATAGGCCGAGCTGGTTTTGCTCGCCCAATGAAGTGGGATGCATCCCCTGTGGGACTTCAGTGTTCGAGCTATGGTCGGTCGTAAATGCTGTCCCAGAAAGGGATGTACTTTTGTTTGTAATCCTCTGCTCTGCGAAATCGCCACGGTTATGTGTATTAAAGCTTTGAACGGGAACCATTGACTGCTGGAACATGAACACAGAAGATGGTGATGAGACTTGTACAGAAGGAATGGAAGAGCGTCCTAGGAAATTTTCACATTGCATTGCCATTGGCGGCCATCCATCTTTAGACCTAGACAATCGAATGCCTTCGATAGCACCGCAACCACCACTTGCCTTAACTTCATTGGTGGCCATGGCTCTACCATAAAACGGACTTGGAAATATTTCTTGACCTTGCAAGACCTTATGGAATTGGAAGGATTCATCAAACACGATACCCCGGGAGGAAGTTTCGGAGTTGATAAATGGGTTTCTTGGACCATTTCTCATCATGGCTATCCCAGAACCATGCAAACCAGGAAACAATCTCCTCTTTTCAGGTGGATGACGAGTGATGTTGTCGCCATCAATGGGAGGAGTATTGTAACCCAAAATTTCTTGACCTTGCAAGACCTTCTGGAACCTTAAAGATTCCCCAAAGTCTGATGTTCCAATCCCATCTGCTAGAAATAACACAAAGAAGAATGAATGATAGCTGAGAAATAAGTGGTTAAGCTAAAATTTCTGTCAAATGAATGACTCACTTGGAACTGGAAACTCTAGTTTTGTAGAAGATAGCCCAATCCTGGTCCTTTTCAGGCCAGGTGGAACCAAGTTGCTAGGTGTGGAGGCAGAACCAGAGGGCTCGATCTCCCATGGGGAAACCCGGCCATGCCTGTTACTTTCAACATCGTCCCACCTCACCTGAAAAGCAATCAGATTTGACCATATAGAGAGGCTATGGAACACTATAGTGAGAAAAGCAAGAATACCACTTTTATAAGAACTTAACTAACTGTCAAATAAACATTATGAGAACAAGATAGGCTAAATATTCATATTAATAGTGAAATGATTCCTGGGTCTGTAGAGATAAAAGCAGTGTCTGTCAAGCATCTGAAGCCGGTAAAATCCTTATGATGCCACAAGATCACACACAAGATTTGCCTAATTGAACCTACAATTATCCTCTTAATTCAAACATCTAGTTCTCTTTTCAATTCATGTACAATAAATTACCTATTCTAATGGGATAACTTGATTTTGGTAGAACATGAACGCTTTTGTCTCTAACAATACGAACAGTTGAAAAGAGCATATATTTCACTGGGGAGATGATATATCAAGCAAAAGCAGACCGGCACTCTTTACAAAATGTTTGCAGGGTGAGAACAAGCATTTTAATTTTAAAAAGCTCCAAAAGAAAAATATAATATACTAAAACTTGAATTCTTGCATGTAAAAGGTAGGCGTGCGAATATTCATACCACTAGGGACCTCCACCTTGATCCTGGCCACCTGATAGGATCCACATCACCAACTCCAGATATCAGTCCAGTGTATCTGTGGAAGAAATATTAGTGAAGATTCCAACACCATATTTTATCGACAAAACAGCAAAACATAAATAGCACACCTTCGATCTGCAGCATCTTCGGTTTCAAAACTCAGCCTAAACCTCATTCCAACAGAGAAAGGATGATTAATGCTCTTCAAGAACTTGTGAAGAGGCAAGACAAACTGTGAAGAGCTAGCCCTGCATAAAACATCAAAGAAACAAAAGCCATTAGAATAGGATGTTAGATAAAAAGAAAGGAACTTCTGTATTTCTATAATATCTACATCAGTTAGAACCAAGAGTGCATGATCCTTTTAATAAAAATTAAATGGTTCAAGAATAAGGTACCTGGGATTGTAGTATACGCTAAAGGAACTTTTAGTAGATATAGCATTAACCACTTCCATGATACTACTAGAGCTGACATGCTGACTGCAAATATTTGGAAAGGCAGAGCCACTTTTAAGCTGCGCAGCTCTTCGAATTCCCAAACGTAATTCCCCATCGTTACCCCTATCAATGGAATCATACGTTAATCATACACAAGAAATCATGTGCTTCTCTCGATTTCAAATTTACTCACTCCCAAGTCCTAAATACCTGAGAAACAGCACTGCATCGCCAGAAACAAGCCTCTTCTTGTTCACAAATGCACTCCATCCAGTGGTTAGCAAATGCCTTCTAGGTTGCCCTTCTCAAACCAGAAAGGGAACTCAGAAAGAAGCACGAAATAGGGAAAACAAACAGCCGTTATAAAGCATTTGCCTGGTAAAGTAAAGCACCAAATATCAGAGATTCCCAGGTCATACCGCGATATATGTGCCTGAACTTCCATTTTTGCCCAAGGAGATCCGTTGCAACAAGCTCTTGTGAAGGCCTCTGTTGATTATAATCCTGCAGAAAGGAACAGTGAGTTCCAAGATTGATAAATATCGAATACATTAGAATCAACAGAGACACAAAGTTTAAAATATTCATTAGCGAATGAAATAAAATAAGAGACACAAAGGCTTAAGCTTAGTAATTACCAATGGCGGGAAGCAATCCTCTGCTGCTCGTCTGGGAACGGAGAAGCCTCCATGAGTACTAGTGTCTGAAGCAGTAAGGGTCTTGCAGAACATGTGGGGTGTTGTAGTCTTTTCACCTCCTTCAACATCCTCCTCCTCACTGTCATTGTTCATCTCTTCCTGCATCCTGTTCTCTATTTGCTGCAAAAACAAGAACAGCATTCAGAAACAGAATCCTCTCATCTTGTTCAGAGAAGAGCAGTAAGTGCAGGAAGGGCAGGAAGAAGAAAAATAGTTGCACCTTAGACAACAAAAATTACTGCCTAACTTATAAGAGATAAGACTTAAAAGATATATTCATCGCTGCTGACGAGTGACGACTGAAGAAAGACTTTAACCGAGTACAAGTACTATAGTCTTGTTAAGGGAACTTCAAATAACATCTTTTTGACCAGAAAACACCCTCAATGACATCAAAATCAACCCCTTAAAGCTTTCTGTTTTATTTTGTGCACAGTATTTTCTCGGAATGCAAACAACACATAAAAATTGAGAAAAAGAAACTCACCTCGTTTTCAGGAAACAATGAAACCTGAGCATAAACCTCGTCACTCCCTGCCTCGGCCTGCTTCAGAAGCACATTTCTCATACGGTAAGTGATTAACAAAAAAAAAAAAAGACCATTCAACTTGGAGAGAATAAAATCCCACATACTAACTGATTCTAATTGCAAAATCAAACGGAATCAGGAAAGTGACATGAACAGATCACCACAATGCACAAAAAGAAGTCACACCCAGAAGAGGAACAAGCAAGGAAAATGTTCTTACATGGAGCTGAACATCAATGACGCGACAGAGGATGTGGGGAGGGAGATCACAGGCCGTGGGTGGAAATTCCAGCATCTCCAAGTGACCCTGCGGCAAATACAGAACCAAGCTCCCTTTCTTGGGCAGAGAAGTAAGTGGGCCCGCACAGGCGTGCCATAGCTCCAAGCAAATTGAGGAGGCGACAGAGGGGGAAGGCGAGGAGGTGAAAGCAGAAGCCGAGGAGGAGGAAGCGGAAGAGGCAGCAGAAGAGGGGGCTTCGTCTTCTTCAGTGGTATTGAGATCGATGAGAGCACCCATTTGAATCGGAGCCCTAGAAGAAATCAGAAGAAGCGGAAGCGGCGTGGCAGTAACAAAAAAGTAGAACAAGTATAAGGAAGAGGCGCTTAAATAGAAGCCTGAAAAGAAAAGGGGTTTGAGGAAGAAGAAGAAGAAGAAGAAAGAGTGCTGGGTAGGAGGAGGAGGAGCTCATGCCTGCATTTTTAGAAAAGGGCGCACCTCCGCTAATGCTAAAAGAGGGTCTCGCTCAGAAAAAACAACAGAGACCTCTCTCTCTCACGACCCTTTTTCTCTCTCACCCAAATTTCGCATTTTTGCTTTATTTTTCGGGCTGTGGCTGTGGCTCTGGCTGTGGCTGGTGGTGGGTGGATTAGAGAGAGAGCAAATGGCTTTTGGGGAAATCAAATCAAGATTTGATGTTTTTAATTAAAAACCAAAAGCAAGAAAGAAGGGAAATGGAAATTTCTCTCTTTGTGTGTGTGTGTGCAGAGACTGAACTGGAGCAGTACTGCAGCGGCTGCAATACTGCGACTGCTGGGTGTGATGTATGGCAGAAAGACGAAGAGAGAGAGAAGGAGTGTCTGTAGTGCATTCGTTAGTTAAATTCCAATTCCAATTCCAATTCCAATTCCACCATTATAATATCACAAACTGAATAAACAGCGATTTTCTGTACGGCTCGCCCGTATTTCCGGTGGGATGTCTATCCTGTCCCTTTCTACCTCCCAAAATCTCTCTTCTACAAATTACAATATCCAAATTACAATTTCTTAATCATTGCTAATCAACTTCAATTTTCTTTCTTTTCTTTCCCTAATTAATGTCATCATATAGTACATTCTGTGCTCCCCTGCTTTTCTATGTTCCATCTTAAACTTGTCTGCTTATTCACCAACTTCTGCTAATGTTTCTTCCTCTCTCTTTTAAAACTATTGATTTTCTTGGTCATCTTCTCTCTTCTGAAAAATCTTCCTAAGATTTCAAAATAAGTAAATAATCCCAAATGTTTTTGTTTGTTTGGTATAATTTCAATTTAATACTCAACCAGTTTCAATCAACTCTAGATCTAGTTCAACAGTCAACACACACATTTTCGATCAAAAGGCACTAGATTTGAATCTGCACTCCCTTTTTCATATTTATAATTATACCACTTTTCTTAAATGTTAGAATTTATTGATGATAAACTTGCATAATATGATACATTGCCGGGTGGGTTAGCATCAAGTTCAATTCTTTTAGCATGATTTTTCGTCTACATTTATGCCACTATTTATTATGTCATACAAATTAATAACATAACTTTTTTCGAGGGATACTATAATTTGTATTTAGTTGGTGTAAAAGCCATAAAAATACTAACTCGAAAATTTGAAAATAATGGTAATTAGTTAGCAATTTTGTGTAAAAGTGAAAAACGGAATTATTATCTAATATCTCTATTACATGTGATTGTTTCTATTTCAAAATAACCAGTTAATCACACAAAATTAAAATTTTCAAAGTTTGTAGGTAATTAAGTCATGTGTTATGATTTCCTTTGACAAAAAGCAATGGACTATATACAAATAGAGTCATCATTTCTATCCAATTAGGGGACAATATAATTAATTAGTGGTTGAGACAATATTAGTGTTTGTTAGTTACAAACTTAATTAAGATTCTTTGGCTCTTTTGCATACACCAAATAGGTTTTTTTTTTTTTTTTTTTTGGAGGAATAAGGTTAATTAGATTTTCCAACCGGTTAAAACCAAGTATCATTATTAATTGCTAGTTGGGTTTCCTTAACTAATGTACACACATATATGTGTATGTTGTAGGTTCACATTTTGGAAAAAGTCAAGAGAAACAAACAGAAAGTGATAAGAAAATGTCATTAGTATGATCCATACCATATCTTCAATAGAAACTTGTTCACTTAACCACCCCTCTCTCTCTCTCTCTCTCTCTCACTCTCATGCAATATGAAAGTTGGCTTGAAAGTTGGCTTGAAAGTTGTCTTCCTCCCCCCCATTTCCAAAGAACATTTATTGCAAAAATTTGAAATCAAATGTCAAATCTCTTATTACATATGATTTGTCTAAATAAAACACCAATTATATAAATCATGAACCACATAAATAAATATATTGTACATTGAAAAAAGAGATGGGAAGTAAAATGAAGAAGAAATGGGAAAGGTGAGATGAATAAAAGGCCTCGTAGTTGTAGACATTATAATTAGCAAATTTCACGTTCATTATCATGTGGGAATCTTTTTTCCCCAAAAGGAAAAAAGGGGCAAAACTGTAAAATGGGAGAAAGTGTGGACAAATGTGTCAACAGTAATATGAGAAACAGTGGCAGGTCCCCATCACAGCCATCAATTGCAATAAACCCAAAATACAGGGCTACCCAGGCCAGACCCCCGTTTTTTTTTAATCTCTAATTTAATTATTTTTATTTAAATAAAAAAAAATTAAAAAATAGGTGGAGTAGTAGAGTAGGGGGTGGGATATAGGTAGCTCCATAACCCGGACAAAACGGGTTACAACTCAATGCCCAATTGGTCCTCTCTCAGTCTCTGCTTTTATCCTTTACTGGAAACCTTTTACCCCCACGCGCCCTCACACCCACGTGATTCTCAATGCCCAAAACTCATTGTCGCCATCCATACAATCTTGTACTTGTACTGCAATTTTCAATTTTCAAAAAATTATAAAACAATAAATAAATCTCCTTAAGTTTTTTGTAATTTTGGAGGTGGGTTTAAATTATTTTATAGCGATGGGAAATTAATGCATAAAATAATTGGAAATGAGAGGAACAAGGAGAGAGATGGGAATTATGCAAACATTCTGATTCTATATTTTGCCACTCTCTTCTAACTCAACCAAACAAGACATAACTTTACCTAATTTTGAACACTACACCAACCTTTTTCCCTTTTTCTCTCATAAACTTTATACACACAATTGAATAAAAATCCAAATCTTAATGCACTCTATTGTCTATTCAAATTATTACATTTTTTTTTTCTCATTCAAACTGGGAACTTACATAACTTCAACACTACTTTTGTCATTTCCTTTATTTTTGTTTTTGTTTTTCTAATAAAAGTTGAGAGAAGAAAATAAATTAGAAGAAGGAAATGGGTGTTGTATAATTATGCCATCATGGTTATAATGGAGTAGGTTACTAGGGTATTATATTCAAGATTAAACAATTAAGAGTTAGAATTGAAAGAGACAAATCTTTGTCAATGAAATCTAGCTGTGGCCTATGAGTTTTTATGATGTAATCTGATTGCGGACATTTTTTTCCCTTTTTAGCCTTTATTGATATATGTATTATTTCAATTATGTTGTATTGTTATTGTAAAATTAATGTTTCTCTCAATTATTTTGGCCACGGTCACATGATCTATGTTTTAATATCAATGATGATTGAATTAATCATCCCAATAGGTGTCCAAAAGCATATATGTTTGTAATCCCAAAGTAATAAAGAGCAAAGAGTGGGTCAAAATACTATTTTGATATTTGTATTTTCAGCTCTCATTCATTTTAGTCACTCTACTTTCAAAATGTTCATTTTAGTTACTATTTGTACTTTTAAAATGTTCATTTTGATTCTTATATTTTTAAAAATAACTATTTTGGTCACTATTTACAAAATTTTAACACTAATTTTACCCATAACAAAAAAAACGTTTAATATAAAATCATGATTATATTTTAATAAATATATTGAATGTAGTGTTATGTTGAAATTGTGATCGAAAAAATAAGATTAAAAATAAAATTAATGGACCAAAATGATCTCTTTTAAAATTACAAAGATTAAAACGAACATTTTAAAAATATAAGAACTAAAATGAACCAAAATTGAGAACCAAAGATATTAAAATAGTATTATCCACCTGAAAATTTCATATAATATTATACTTAAGATTACGATTGGTCATAGAGACCACCCATTAAACTAATATTAATAATTAAAATACAAAAGTTTGTTGACGCTTGAAAAGCAACATTTATGAATGAAAACTTGAATATAATTGAGAAATGAAAATTAAGGAACGAGAATGAAAAGTCTCATTCTCCAATTTATTAAAATTTTCATTCTCATTCTCCTATTTATTAAAATTTAAGAATAGATCCCTCTAAAAATATGTAATTTCATGTCTCTCCTAAAATTTTATCAATCTCATTTTCACACTTTATTCTCTATAACTTTTGAATAATTACTTTACAAATTTTACTCTTCTATTTCGTCCATTAACGAAACTCATAATTTTTTAATTAATTATTTTACAAATTTATTCTTATTATTATTTTGTTTATTTATACTACTAATAAGTTTTATTTTAATACCACATTACAGAATTTTTATTAGTTAATCTAGTTATATTATAAAATATTCTATTTAAGTTATCAATAATTAAATTTTATTATACCTTCTTATTATAATTAATTAATATCAATAAAATTATTTAAATAGAATTCATTATTATGAAATATTGTAACAACAAAATTTAATAATATTTCATATTAACGATGGTTGTTATAATAAATATTATATTAATCATTTCTAATTAATTGTGAAATTTTGTTTTAATTATTTTTTATTATTATTAAATAAGTTATTAGAATAAAAAAATTACTATTAATAAAACAGCAAGAAAATAAATTAAAATTTATTATTATTTTAATTAAAAATAATATTAGTATACTTTAAGTTTATGTATTTGTAATGAGTTAAAAATAAGAAATTATAATTTTAGTAATTGTTATATATCAGATTCTTATTCCGATTCCAAATAGTTTTAGTAAACCATATCATTAAGTTTCCGATTGTATTTTCATAAAAATTTAAGTAAATAATATAAAAAAAATATTTAAATTTCAATTGATTTCATTCCAATTGCTAAATAAATAAACCGAGCTTAAGTGAAATTAGTCTTAATTTTGCAATCATTTGGTGAAAATAATAAGACTAGCTAGTTATTTTTTTCATAATACAAAAGACGAACACAATAATTCCCTCGTCCTTTGAATCAAACACACGGACGTCCTTTTAAAATTACCTTCTATTTTTTATTTTTATTTTTTTTTCAAATTACCTTTTACCATGCTACGAAGTAAATAATGATATTRTTATTTTCTTAAAAAAAAGATACTGTTAATTATTATAATGATCATCATCACCACCGGTTAGCAACAATGCGTGTTCATTATGAATGATATAATTATTTTTTTAAAAAATCAAATAAAATTTGTTAATTTAAACGATCAATGATAAAATAATATATATTACAATAAGATCAATTAGTGAGAAAAAATCTTCCAATTATATATAATTTGTCCAATTCCGACATGCATTTATATTAAAGGAAAATTATCATATAACATTAAACAATCAAAAGAGACGAACAAAGGGGGTGTGAAAATTCAAATCTACCTAAATTAATTATTGATATTTTAATGAGTTGGACTATGTTTGGATTTAAACATAAAATAATGAAAAAAAAAACTTAAATTTTAAATTTTAGTCTCACCCATTTGTTGGGTTAAATTGCAACTTCGGTCAAATAAATTTTAAAAGTTGA